TGTACTGTCATGTTCAAAATTGTTAATAAAGAGGGYGTGGATGTTCTTCACCGCGAATCAATGTTAACTTTTCGCTCACACGAAAGCTGCACTGAGTATGTAGAGCATGCGCCACGATTCAGTTTTTTCAGAGTCACTTTTCCTAGCATACAGTAGCATACAGCAAGTTCACGCTTTTTTTTTCCTCACTACTGCAATATACAGTTATTGTAAGTTTTAACAAATAACCATTGACTCATCAGGGTGTTAAAAAATACTTTCATAATATGACTAAGATTATTTTTTCTCCAATGAAATATTCTAATTTCATCGCAGCCATGTTTGGTGGTAAAGTTCCACTAGAAAACGAATATCAATAATTGCCTTAACGGAATACATACCGCACAGGAGCATCGTTCTTGTTATAGCCATCATAGACAGTCACCTTCTTCAATGCTTCCATGTCCAGTTCAGGGTTCCCACAAACAAGCATCTCAACCTCCTCTGATCGCAACATCTGTTCAAAAACATGTATTAAAAATTAGGTTGTTCATAGTGTATGATGTAGTCATATTGTAGAGGTGGTCATTATGTGGAGGTAGTTGGAGTGTAAGGTAGTCGGTGTGTAATGGGTATTCATAGCGAATGATGTAGTAATGTTATAGAGGGGGGTTATTATGTACAAGTTGATGTTCGGTGGTAAGGGTGGTCGTAGTGTATGATGTAAACATGTTGTAGAGGTTGTAGAGAWGGTCATCATTTGCAGGTAGTCGGTGTGTAAGGGTATTCATAGCGTATGATGTAGTATTATAGAGGGGGTTATTATGTTCAAGTTGGCGGCTACAAAAACCMCTGGGATGTGGTCACTGTTGCTACGTCAAAATGAGAGCTTTCCAAGCAGCTTTGCCAAGACAAATAGGGCCGAMWGGACTAACAGTCGTCAAACCCAAAATAAAGGCTAAAACAATAAACGTTACATACGATAAGGGCATTGGACGCGCACACTGAATGGAATCCATGATAGAAAGCAGCAAATTGCTGGTACATGGACTTGTTGAGTAGATAATCAACGTAAAGATTGACATAATCTGTAAAACAACAATATCCGATTAATAAAATACCAGSTGTTGTTTCTTTTGATATAGTTTTAAACTTTTATGCAATTAAGTTAATGAATGTCATCATCAAATGCTGCCTCACTCTCTCTCTTGAGAGAGCCTACAATGAACATGTAACTCTTATCAGTTGAATGCATCTCCTTTAGTTCCAGATTCATTACCACTTTACATGAAAATGATTAAATAACACGCTCCATAAACAAAAACAAAAAAACAAAATAGTGCAAAAAATGATAGAGTGATAGAATGATAGATTGATTAAAGCATACCTTGCCTATTGTCATTAGTGACAGGTATCGCGCTACCCTTTGGTTTCAGATTATGTGTAATAACTTGTCCAAAGGAAGAGTGAGAAACCTAGAAATAGACATATGGTCGGAGAATGTTTTGGTTCACACCCACTTTTAATAACTTGAAAGACTTCAAAACATGTGGGCTATCACAAATCCTACACTCTCACTGCTATTAATAATAGTTCAAGCTGAATAATCGTTTTCGAAAGTCAAACAATGTGGTCAGCTGCTTCTCGTCATACTTATCCAATAATCTTACAAATCATACAAAGCAATGTATTGTATTCGCTATTGCGCTGCATTCTCAATAGTCCAGTTTCGAGATCTTATTTGTGCAGCCTTAACCTCGAAAGCATGTAATGTATTCTTTTATACAGCAGAGACCCTATTGTAATGCAAACACCAGGGGCGTGTCCAGGAGAGTCACAKGGTGCCCGTGACCCCCCTTTCAAAGCCAAAAAACGCGAAAACCATAGATTGATATGACATCATATTGCCGTCATATGACGTCATAGTGACAATTTGGTATGTAAAATCCTGGATACACCCCTGAACATTCTGTGTAAAAAAAGACAAAAAATGTATGCTTGATTGAATTTAAGCTTGCACAAAAGAGAATTCGAAACTGGAGTATTCTATTGTTTATACATAGATAAAATGCACTACAATGCTGTCAGAGTACAGGAAAACTCTTTGTTTTARTAACTTATCTGTTTTTTACCTTTTCATTGCAAAAAACGGGTTTGGGTAACATCTTTGYGAATACAAAAAATGTAAATGTCTTGCTGAGTTCATTTTTATGCATTACCTGGAATGTYTGGCACAAATCATTTTCCACGTCTCCCTCATACTTTAAAAGTTCTTTTAGGCCACGAGCAAGATCCTAAAATGATATGAAATGTTATATTAATATACATGATTGTTGGTCTCCATTAGCCCAAACTCTCATCATCATCTCATCTGGCGACCCTAAGGGCCGGGGCGCACTCAACAACACTCAACAACACTCTGAACAACTCCCATCCATTTTCAATCTCAGTCTAGAAATCACAGCACATTTGCACAGCAATACATACCGGCATAGCCTCAGCCAGGTCATCAAGACCAAGGTTGGCAACACCTACTGTGGCATTAGGATTATGAAATGGAACAACAGCAGGACTAAGTAGTTTTTTGTAGACACAAGAAGGGAATCTAATGTCCAGATTAATACTGTTGTATACAGCGAGACCCATTAGCTAAGCAATAATTAAGGGAAATGTTTAGTTTCTCCTGAAGGAATCCACCTATTTATAGTATGTTTCTTTGTTTCAAAGTTATTTGGTTTCATATKCAATGTTTCCTTGTTTGTGGAGCTACAACACTTATCTAACAGTATTTTGTGTTTGTTCTTTTYTGGCATATAATTTCACAAAACTACTATAAATAAAATACATTTCAGATAGGTTGTTGAGTTACACAGTGCAATTTTAGTGGTTGRCATTGTAGGCTTCTTGCCCTTTAATTCATCTTTGTAGAAATTGCATTGAGGAAACACCTACAAACTACAGTTAATCTAGTTTATATAAATGTTTTGAGTAATATCCCAAATTCAACAATTATTTTTGGAATTGAATTAGTACCATTCTTTTTTAWTGATCCTGAAAAGAATTTTTTAAAACTCCTTGGCWGTAAAACTCAGTCAAGYAAATGGCATATTCTAAGTGCCTTGGAGGTAGTGTCACAATCTCTCATTTTTGAGCAAAGAGGTAATATTAGTTGTGCTCTTATTATTTTGCTCTAACAATTCCTTTGTTCTTTAAAGAGTGAATAAGTGGATACAACTCCAACAAGGTTGAATTCTTCATCTTGGTCTTTACATTCTTGATTGAACCAATACAGCCTTGACTTATCATTGTAGGAAAACATTCCTGAAAGTTCAAAATATGAAATTACAATACTAAAGTCATTTGCTCAATTTGCCCTTTTTATGTGTTTTGGAATTGATTTGAAACTGTGTTTTTTAAGTAGCACAATTTGAACTGATTCCATGAGCTTGTGCTTTTCAGCTGATGCACACATCTTGACCAAACTCACTAGGTTTATTCTTTCATTTTTTTAATCCATTTGTGCTATAATTAGTTAAACTAATAATTGTTGCGGTGTCCCTGCCACTTTCTCATTATTGTGTTTGCATGTTATTTATTTATGTTAYGTASTCATGTATTTACAGATGTTATTCTTGGCGAAGCTAATAAAATAAAAAATAATAATTCCATTCTTACCATATTCGGGTTTGAATATTTTTCTAATGAGCAAGAGAAACCACTCTTTAGTCAGCCCTCCCATGTCAAGGCCAGGCTCCCCTGCAAATGTCACCTTTAATTTCTTTTTGAGGTCTTTCTGTTTGCGAGCGATCTTCAAAAAAAAAACAGTGCTAGTAGGTAATGGTAAAGTTTGGTATTCATACTCAGTTTCATTATTATAAGTTACCATTTTTTTAGCATTAAACTATCAATTCTACCATAGTAACCATCATCAACATAAATCTATATTAGAATCTCCCACCATACCATTATCATATTAATTATTACATTAATTGTCACCTCATTTAGAGAGTCTGATATCAGATTAGACCTTCTGACTTTAATATTGAGAAACAACATTCCCATGTCAGGCATCTCACGACGCTGTACTTTCTCCATCAGACTTTTCTAAAACAAAATTGTAATATTGTAAATACGTGCTTTATGACATA